AAAAGTACCGTCGACTTTTTAAAAAATCTAATTTGGGATCGAAATGAACTGAAATTCTCATCCTAGATTTTTCCAACCAACATAAAAGTGTTTCCATTCAGACTTTAGTATTATAAGAAACATTATAAAATCAACGATGTTAAAAAGAAATGGTCCGTTCCGCCCCCAGATGACGATCTCCACGGGTTTGCGCAACTTCCAGACTCTGACGGACAGCATCACGGAGACTATCCGGGCTCCGTACGACGCCAAAATCAAGAGTCAGAACAGAGACGAGGTCTTCGAGGGCCTCAAGGGCTTCCTGGGTGTAGCCAGTAAAGTAAGTGTTGTATCTGTATCTGTATATGTATATGTTTTGTTGACAAACATTGTTAATATGATGTTGTTTGTTTAAGTGGCGCTGTTAATATAAGTACTGTTTACTTGAGTGCAGCGCCACTTTGTCTTTGTCCTATTTGTTGAATAAAAAAATAAAAAAAACTGTATCTGTATCTGTATCTGTATAGCCGGTATAACCGTCTTTCGGCGTAACACACCAGCTGGCTATATTACACCGATCGACTTGTTACACCTAACCCTAGAAGTTCTAACTCTAGACATTGTTTAAAGCTATCTAATGACAATGCCCCTACTAGCTGTACTTGGTGACAGTGAGTTCCACTCTGTAATAGTTCTAGGAAAGAATGAATTTTTGAACACCTCAATCCTTGGTTGATAACTCTGGTACTTGAAGGCACGCACATGGCTATTTCTTGTTCTCTTCTGGGCTGGTATTAGGTACTTAGTAGTTGTGCGGTTGTGTATGGTATTGTCGTTGACTTTTACTGTTACTATCAAATTACAGTAGGTGGTTCAGACATAAGGGTGGCGTTGAAACTGTGATATGTGATGTAAAAGTTAATACCGGCAAAAGGAAACTTATTGGTTAGAATGTACCTCTTAAGTAGATGCTACACTTGTGATTAAAGCTTCATTTTAGTGGCATCACTGTGTAGACTGAAGTGTAGAAGACAAATCTTAGGAAGAAACTCAGAAAAAAACATATTTTTTTGGAACATGAGCAGATATATAGGACGCCGGTTCTGCAAGATGTGAAACAACGGCCATTCCTATTACGTAGGAACACTCATATTAAGGGAAACATTTGGAGTTGCTCACGGGAGCTTTTTACTGATTTTGCCTCTTTCCCTCCAGGTGTATCACGGGACCTACACGCCTCCCGGGCTGAAGGTCTGGGCGCACTTGCTGATCGCCGCTTTGGCGTCTCTCGGCTTCATCTTCATGGCGTCCATCCTGTTCTGTTTCTGCACCAGCTGTAAGACGTTCTGGGGAGAGAAACCGGCGCCGGCACTGGACGAGATGCCGGCTGAAGAGGAGCTCGGGAAGTCTGCCGGCAGGGTCCCGTTCTACCACATCATGCCCAGCGGCATAAAGGTAAACTTCAAGCAGATGCATGGCTTCTTAGATTGTAAATCGTTTAATACATCCTTGTGGCGAAACTTACTGTATTTTGAATAAAAGTTACTGTTATTTGTTTTGACTATTTAGTATACCTTTCTTAGCCTGGAATCCACCCGTGAACGCTTTGTCTCCACTCCGTTCCTCCGCTCTGTGAAGGCAGAGCGGAGAAACGGAGCGGAGCGTTCACGGATGGATTCCAGGCTATACCTTTCTTTCTTTCTTGTTCCGGAAATCCTATGTAAACATTTCACTGATGAAGAGTGTTGGAAATGAAACGCTTGGCTATTAGATTTTTATCCAGTTGAAAAGTCTAAAATACTATCTCAGTCACTGATTCAAGTTTTCTACCCTGGATGACTAATCTTCACAAACGTATCCCAAAAAAATCGTTTACCATCTCTTCACCCAAATGGAGTGAAATGCTGTTTCTGTCCGTCTGTCTGTGTTTATGACTGCAGTTTCGGTATGTTCCACCAGAGGGGGTAAGTTTATGGCCTGTAATATTGCATCGTTTCGTACCTGCAGGGAGACGATGGAGACAACCTGATCGACCCAGATGTAGACAGCTCGCCCACCGCTCAGGAGATGCCAGCAGACGACTTCGCCATGATGTCTAAAGTAGCGGCGGGAAGGAAGGGCCGCCGTGTTTAAGCCATAACGTGTCTGATACAAATGAAGCATGCAGTTGTAGCCTTTGTGAAAGGCTAGAGAACACATTGCAAAGAAATATTGAGTATAACTTTATCATGACAGAGGGGTATTACAGCAATTATCTTTCATCGATTACCAGAAGGCTGACGTTTGTTTGGCATGACACTTAACAGGTGATAAGGGTGAGAATTACAATTATTTCATAGGAGTAAGGGTAAAGGAGGGACCATATGGAATGCTGATATATCATGTTGCTGTGTGTCACAGAACTTATCAGAAAATTGTTTGTCAAAAAAGGAAAACCATGATTAAACTATGAGAAAAGCTTTAAAAACAAATTATGGTGGAGGGAGGTGAAAAAGTTGTATTTAAACTCTTGAAGAAAATAGACATACAAAACATCAGTTGGTGGTTTTCTACATGTACATAGTTTATTGGGTACTTCTCATTTTCTATTGCCTATGTAAGGACATACATGTGGTTTAAAACAATGTTAGGTTGGTTATAATTGGTTCTTGGAATGTGCATACATGTGTATATCTTTACAGCCTTTGTATCAAATAAATTTACATCTTTCAAAATATATATTACATGTACAACACTAAGAGGGATCATTACAAATAATAAATATGTAACATTTGCTACTTTGCCTTAATTTTCTGAATAAGTCATTAAACCCATTGAGAATCAAATACTAAGTAGTACATATTGCAATCTTTACCACATACATTCCTCTTAAAATATTTGCTGATGAGCACTTCATTCAATTAATCATGTCCTTTTGTCAGTTATCACTGTGATCACTCTTATCATTATTATAATCGTATCTTACCTTCCCAATTCTTGTCATCCCCACGTTCCTTGTCATTTTTACATCGTCATCCTTTTGTGAAATATCATCATCAATTCATTCATGTTAAAATCTTTTCATAAGAGCCTTTCAAAATACATGATGGTTTATTGTTAACAATCTTCACTCATAGTGGTAATCCAGTTAGTTCCAGCTTCTTGTTCTAGTTACATCATTGTATTGTTGTATGAAGGACATTATTGGATTCTAGTAAGTTATTACCCCATGTAGCTTTGCCTCTATCTTCCCTTTCTTTTCCTTTTCCAATGGAAGTAAAGCCATGTCAGCAATCTTTCCTGGGACTGATGTACAGAAGAATCATTTGCAAGAGCATCAACACAACATAGCTGTAAAGAGTTAGTGTTAGTGCATCTATCTTCACTTGTGGAGAAGTTGAGATTGTATCTCTGCTTCCTTCTTCTGTCTCCACTCACAGAGATCAGCGTACGGACACTTCCCACACTTCCAGGCCTCCTCTATCTGCACTCCCTCCACCTCACGATCACCTGTAGTAACAAAACAGATATCAATAACAAAACAGCAGATATTTCAAGCCAAGCCCTGGGATACTACATAAAAGAAGCAAAACTACAATGTGGCACTTGCCCTTTACACACTTTGTAAGCAAATAAGAGGATGAAGACTCAACAAAGAAACCATAAATGTCAATCATTTTACATTTTATAAGACACTGAATTTGTCTTTATGGCACACTAGAAATTTTAAGACCATACAAGTTGGTAGCAAAGGCATATGTGTGAATGGAAAACTTATGTCATGACTGGCCTTTCCAAAAATCAAAATAGTGGCCAAGCTCTCTCCTCATCATCTTGTCATTATACTCCACTGGTTTTGTCATGAACGAATCATCATCATCCTGGTAGCGATATTCAATCTTCAAGCTGTCGATACAGGGTATGTCTGAGTGTGCCATCAACAGCAGTGCCATGTCCAACAGTTCTCCAAAAGTTGTGCAGGCGATCCCCACATTCTTCCCATATTCAATGATCTCTTCTCCAAGTGGTTTATCTGGACTTCTCTTAAGATGTTTCAGAATGCTCTCTTTCTTCAGTTTACCTAGTACCAAGTCATCGAAGAGTCTCTTGTATAGGCCAACTTGTATGCCCTCTTTTCTTTGCTGGGCTTTGGAGGGAACTGATTTGCTTCCACGAGTCTTGAAGTCGAGAAGTTCAAAATGTCCGTTATCCGAGTACCGCAGCTCATCGATGACACCAACAATGAAAATGCCCATGTCGAATGGTTCTCCAAACACATGGATTTCCCTCACACATTGTTGGCCTCTCTGCAACATCGTCACTTGTGCGATCATGTTTAATAGCTTGACTGCCCACGAGTCCTCTGCACTTGTTACTTTGATGGGGACTATATCATGAACCTCCAACTCTCTCTCTTTGTGCATGGTGGCCCCTTTCTTCATCTGGGCGGACTCTACCACTTCAACGTCTCCCGGGGGTGCGTAGGTGTAAACCATCTGTTGTTCGCACCAGCTCTGGGAGCAAATATCCGTGACACACAGGTAGCCCCACCTGTACAGATAAAGTGGCACCGTCCGTCTCTTCTTTGCAGCATAGCTCCCATCATCCTTTGACTCTGAACTTGACTCTTCATGTAGACCAACCAGGAGAAGGTCACTGTCGGTTAAAGATGTCTGACTTTCTTGTGAAGGAGGAATTGATTTCTTGGTTATGCCTTGAGAGTTGTCCGTAGTCGTGCATGTTGACCTGTCTTGGTTACCTTGCGATGGCGGCGTCAGCGCAGCTTCTAGTAAGTCTTCATCTGTTAGTGATTCAGAGAATGGCGGGGCCGGCGATGAGACATTCCTTGAACCTTCATCTCCAATTTTAAGGGTGCTGTTGGCCTTTGAAACCGCCTGACAATCGTGAATCGGTGGTTCGACAGACGGGCACTTCGCTGAGGAACGGCAAGGGCAGGTGTGTTGACCACACTGGTTTGATTTTGGCGGGCTTGTTTTTGCTGGTGCGGAACCACTCGCACTTCCCGGGACATTATCTACACTTCCCCCGTGTTTGTTGTTGATTTGAGGGTGCAGTGCACCTCTCTCAGCTCTCAGAAGCTCCTCGTCGCTGATATAAGTCTCTGATGAGGCCCAGTCGTCCGTATTTTGCCCTGAATCTCCAATGTTTTGGTTCTCCGGCCACTTTTCTGTGTTGTTGGCTGCCATCTTGGATGATACTAAATTTGATAGGGGTTCTGATAATGAGAGTCAATGCATCATGGTCTGTACTACTTAGCAAAATAGAAAAAGAAGCAATTTTACGTAGATAGACGTCTTAAAATTTCAGAAAAATTATTATAGTGGTCAAAAGTGTATACAGATAACAGTCTAGATTCACCAATATATACTATCACCCCTACTTAATAAAGGAACATTCCAGTTTTTGTAATCTACACATTTCCCAGGGTGCCCCACGCACAGATTTCTTTGCAAATGGCGGATAAGGTTCAAGTTTGATAGCGGGAGGTCCGCGAGTTTTGTGTCCCGTTTTCTCTTTGTTTTCACGCCCATTTATTTGTACGAGCCGCGGGCGACAAGCACCAGGATGACCGAGAAGAGGAGTTTCGCCAAGGGACTGAGCAAGGAGAGGGCGTCCGAAGTGCGGGACACAGTTTCCAAAGCAGTTCGGGAGAGCATAGTCGGGGCCACCGTGGTATGTAACGCCTCGATGTGTTGTAGCTTTAGGAATGTTCACTATTTCATCTGTCATATTTTACCTCGCCGTGCCTCTTCATCCCAATCAAACCCCACTTTACAAAAACGGTTCCGCATCTGCGAGGCTTAAAGGGAGAGGCACTGGGGAAAATTTACGGCGGAAAAAACTGGGGATAACAAGGTGAAGTGACGGTCAGGTCTTGTAAGGTGGGCCTGGTGACCCATGTCGAGGAAAACATCCTCCAAGCTCGTTTAGAAAATTACAAACACCTGCTTTGAAAGCGGCGTCTTTTATGATCGCAGGAAATATTCTTCCTTTCAGTAATAGCGTGCATAAACGGATTACCAGGGGACGTATAAATTCTCGTAATCACATGTGTTATAAAGATAGTGGGAATGACGAATGTTGAGTCGTAAGATTTCTGATCGGATAGCGACGTACAGGAAGAGGCCATGGGCTGGGCTACTTCCGGGTTTTGTATGATTAAGAATCGGACCTACACTAACCATATTTCCTGTAAAAATTCCCTCCTGTTTTCACTAAAATCTGCCTATGTGATTGTCCAAAAAATGCACACCCCTGCATTAGGCGTATGGCACTCCTAATTGCTGCTTTTAAGTTTTGGGGGACACACCCTCTCTTGACTTTATATATAGAATCTAGGACTTGATAAGGACACTACATGTAGCACTGGTAGATGTAGCATTCACCCCTATAATTCTGTAACTACTGTTACCCCCTGGCAGTTTTCTGTGTATATAGTACAGAAACTATGGTAATGTGTACTTAACTAGTTGCCTGCGCAGGTCATGCTTTCACTTATCAACTGATATCAGTTCACATAGCTAGGTTGTTTTGACTATTTTATTGTAGTGATAAACCGGGTGCGATAAATATTTGAGTAAGCCTACTGGCAGTTTATAATGTTGTCAATTTTGTGGGTACAGATAAAATCTGTATTTCAGCTTGTTACTTTAACACACATCTTTGCTTATGCAGTGTATGTAAATTTTTTCTTATCATGGTTTCATATGGTAAATATGTAGATGGTTTAATTAGGAAACTTGATCGTGTAATCTTTCAAAATCCATATCCTGTAAACAAGAGCAAGATCTTGATTATGAGTCAGTGAAAGATACACAAAACAGTGACAGTAATATTATGAATAATACATGCCTTATGATGATTTATTGCCTAGTTTGCTCCAACCTCTGGAGTGTCACCAGTACAGTAGATCAGTTGTGCCACATGAAATTGATTATTTGCTTGTAGGATATGTTATTCTATAGCAGAGTAAAAATCAAGCTATTTCAGCAAAAACGAGTTTTTAATAGGTGCTCTGTGCAAGGTTGAGTAACTGTTGTTTTGGTGTGCTTTTTGCTAGAATTAAAAAAAAACCCACAGATTTTTGAAAAATACAAAGTAGTCAATACAGTTGCAAAGATAAGAACAACAGATAGAGTTTCTAGCAAGAAAGCATACTAGTATAGATATCGCTACTGTAACTCATATCTCATGTATATGAATAAATGTAAAACAGGTAATGATTATGCAATATTCATTTCATGACCATTCATTTCCAATAGCTTCATTATACTGTGGATTCCTGAAAAAATTCATGATATAACGCACTTCCGACTCCATTGTTTTGAGTGTCAAGTAAGAATTATGTCTCTCTTCAGTTTACATGGAGAGGCAGGCATCCCCTAGAGCCTAACAAATAAAAAACTAGAACTGCCCTGCTTGTATGTAAACCACCCCAGCAGGTGGTCAGTTTTGGACAAGTGCATGTAGCTCGATTTATTGACACAAGAGCAATATCTGTCCGGGTGCATATGGCGTTACCATTTATTGCAGAGTGAGCAGGTACAGACCGCTGATAGGGAAAGACTGAGGGATATTTAATATGTAGGAGCACTGCGCACCAGTCAGAAGTGTTTGTGTTGGGTGGGATTTGATCCTAATGAAATGTAGTGGTTATGAATGAAGCTACTGTACTGTATAATTTGAGCCCTTGCTCCCATTTCAGCCTGAGAGCTTTTGGTC